CAGACCCGGTGGTGCTGGTCAGCTCGAGCGAAAGGGGCCCGCGCTGCCTGGGCAGTTCCTGCTGGTGCGGCGCGGAGGCCAGTGATGGTCGCGTTCACTGGTTCATGAGACACTGATAAAATATTCAGAAGAAAATCTCCATCTTTAACTTCTTGCTTCCTGCATTGGCTCTCTAGTAATTTCATAATATCAAACATTAAAAGTTGTCCTTAAATCAATTCCAAGTAGTGTTCCATTTCTCTTGTAACACAGTAAACCCTTGATTTTGCGGACCTCGATTTAACGAACTTCAGATTTAATGGACAAAGTTTCTGGTCTGTATATCATATGTGAAAATTAATACCCTATTAATTTTAAAATGCTTTTAACCAAGATTTGCTTATTAAATTAACTGGTTATTTTGTTGTTGTTAATTCACTGTTATTTTTAACAAGCTTAAGTGGATAGGCCATATGTTGGAAAAAACACTGTAGTTTCGCCCACCTAAATAAGGAATACATCGCTGTAACTGTAGTCTACATAGTAAACCCAGGGCTCACCGCTCGTAAGCAGTGTTCAGGGAACGATGAACACGCGATCACACCACATTGACAAGGTCGTTGGCTCTGTGGTCATGTGGCGTGACTGTCTGCAGCAGTTTTAACGGAGGCCAGAAAATAACCTGAAGGAAGGGAGCAGGTGGTGGCTGCATGGCCTTTGCTGCCCTTTGAGTTAAATGACTGCAGGTAGCACACAGGGCCACCGTGCACCCACTGTGCCGGCGAGGGTGCAGGCAGGTCCTGAAAGCAGCTGCTAAGAGCAGGCACTTCATTGACATATCGGAGGACCTGCAACTGTGTTTTTTATTTTAAATACAGTTTTCTCTTGGGTGGTTTGTATAACCAACTCTAAGGAGTGAGTGCTTTTTTTGAAGGAAACATCTGTCTTTGTAAATTACAATGATTGGCTACAGCATTATCAGACTACTAGTGACCCAGTGCACGGATTCGTGCACAGTGAAAGGAAATTAATTAGAAGGTGGCCAGCGGGGTGGGACTGGGCGAGATGGGCCAGACATGCCCTGGAGCCAACCTCCCGTGGTCCTTCTCCGGCGTCTGCGGAGTGAGCGGGGTCCCTCCGGCAGGTGGGGTCCCTCAGCCTGGCCTGTGGGGATTGGGCCGAAACCGGCTCTCGGACATCCCCGGAGTGCGAGAGGGCACTCTGCAAAGTTGCTGTCGTACAGGGTGTGGAATGCAAACATGTGTGCAGTAAGCCAGATTCGGGGTCGACAGTGCCCCAGCAACAACATAACCCACGGCCTAGGGTGGAAACGAGCGGCCCTGCGAGGAATCGGGCTCCCTCCTCTCTGGTTTTGGGGTGCATCACCCAAGAACCACTGCTGCCAAGTCACTGCAGCTCAGCAGCTCCTGCGTTGAGCTCTGCCCCCTGGTGGTCAGTGCGCGTCATAGTGACCGGTCGGACGGTCAGATACTTAACATATTAGCCTTTTATGTATATAGATTAGCCCTGTCATCGAGACCTCAAGGCTGTTTCTTAGGGATGTGAAGGTTTGTTTTCAAGAGGGCTTATCAGTTGGAAACAGCCACACGGGGAGAAGGGAGAGCCGGATGTTGTTACTGACTGCTCTTCTTTCTGTGTGCGCAGCCTCATGTTCCGGCTGTCGGAGGAGCTCCCACAGCAGTGGGAGAGGCGGGAGGGGGACAGCACTGAGGGCCAGGTGGTGATGGCTAGATGCTGGATATGGTTTGTTCGCTCCTCCAAACAAGCTTATTTGGGGAATTTCACTCACGTACTCATAAACTCACTCAAAGCTATTGAGTGAAAGGCCAGCTGCTGTCCTGCTGCGGGCCCCCAGGGCTACCCCTGTGCGTGGGGGACAGGCTGGGAGACGAGGCGGGCGGTCAGGGCAGGCCATAGACCGCTCTGAACTCCAGGCTCCTCCTCCTTATGCATCCACCTAGTTCTTGGGGAGCTCCTCTGGGGCCTAGTCTGAAGAAGGGGAGGCAATCGCATCACATCCAACTCCCTTCACATGACGAGAGACTGCGAGCATGGAGGTCAGAGTCCAGGTTCTGGGCCGGGAATGCTGGCGGCTTGTGGGCCCTGCTGCGTGGCCAGCTGTGATTGGAGGACCTGTTCCTTGCCCGGCACCGCGGGGGTGGTCACAGCACCACACTCCGCGCGGGGCTGGGTGCTGACCTCGCAGGGTCTGGCATGGGGCCTCCTCGGCACGGTAGTCACAATTATTCCTGGTGTCTGTCCTTCGGTCACCGCACTCCCAGGGTGGAGGTTCAGGAACTGGATTTTATCAGCCTCCTCAGATTGGATAAAATAACAGCGGCCAAACTTAGAATCGACTGAACAAATGAACAGAGTACTAAAGTGTTTTTTAAGGGAATATTCTGGTAACAACTGTACTCAGCTATTTCAGGCAAACTACATTGTTAAATATCACTGCTCTGGGCAGGAGAGCTATTGCTTGCTGCTGACACTCTGTCCTTAGGGTTACTCTTTTTTTTTTTTTTCCCATTTATCTCCACTTCCTCTGTAAGCTTCGTGGCTGAAGCACATTAATGCTGGGACTGTATGTTTGCAGTCTCCTCTGCCTGGGAGGGGCCTCATAGGATGAGGGATGAAGGACATGGGCTCTGCTCCAAAGGGGGCCTTTGCCAGTTCCCTCGGAGTCCTTGTGATCTCGCTCAGCTGGCATCCCTCGCAGACACGGGCTGTGTCTGTGTCCGTACTCTTTGGTAGTTGGGAATTGTTTTTTGACAATTCTCAGAAACTGGTGCTTCCGTGTCTTTGGGGACCCGTAGGTGTATATGTAGCTGTTTCGTTCTCATCACAAATGATATACAACTAGTCTTTTAGCAAAACGATGGCGTCCCCTGGAGGCTCTGGCCTTTCTGGTCTGACGGGTTCTGCAGGGTGAGCGTTGGCAGGAGCCGGCGCAGTGTGCCGGTGAACACGTGGGACTGACGTGAAATACAGGGGACTCCAGTGGTGGCGGCGGACGTCTCAGCGTCCTGGGATAGAAATAGGACTCCCACAATAAAAACTTCAATGTATGTTTTTTCTAAAGTATTTCAGGGGCCTCTGGAGGAGGCAGTGGGTGAGAGCGAAGCAGGAATGCAGAACTTGACTGATTGCAGAGGGTGGGCCGTGGTGGCCAGGATGGGGTGAGGAGCCGGAATCGGGGCGCAGAGAGTGTGAGTGACACACAGTTTGGGGGTTCAGGAGCAGCTTTCACGCGCGTTGTTCCGTGTGAAGGTTTCAGGATCACAGCGGAACGCAGAGCTGGGAGCGGGGACGTCTGAAGAGCTGGCTGGACAGGCAGGTGTGCGGTGCAGCGCCCAAGCAGGACCTGCATGGAGCTCCCATTTGCTGATTCACCCGTGACAAGCCCCACCTCAGCCCAGAATCTGTGCTCAGTGCTGTTTTCCCAACGCGCATGTCCCTTCGCTTTGGTTTCTCTGGGCCCGTGGGGAGCGGAGGGTCAGACAGAGTGAAGCTTGGGGGTGGAAATGTGCCTGTTGTCTCACTTTCTGGTGCAATTTTCATGTCGTTTATATAGTTAACCCCATTCTAAGGTCCTGTTTTTCATACTTTTCTCCAAATCAATACTTGTCACGTCCGAATTATCCATGAGGAGTAGCTGGTGGATTGGGGAAGCAGAGGGGAGCTACTGGGTGGGCTTTGAGCGCTGTGGCCACGGCTCGGCACCCGAGAGTGCGGGAGGCCACGGAGCAGCCGAGGAATGACTTGGCTGTCACGGGGCTCGGATGGTCTGGGTGTGTGGATGGAATGACTGGGCATTGGGGGGGGGGGGACGACTCCTGCCGAGCAGCGGGAGCCGCATTAGTGCTGGAGCCCAGACTGACCCCGGCGGTAGAGGTGGCCCTGCCCTGCCGCCTCCCCAATGATGTGTGGCCAGCAGCAGACAGAGGCCTGCGGGATGCGATCCTCCGAGAGTCCTGGGTTCTACAGCAAGGGCCTGAGACGCAAGTGGTCTCACCCACGTGAACTGTCCTACCTGGTTAAAAAGGGAGGAGACGATAGGGAAGGGCGTCCCCTCGGGCCTGCTTGCAGTGCTGCTGGCTGGAGTCCATGTCGGTTTCTCTAGAAGGAAGGTGTTGAGAACAGTCTACACTGCGGCGGCTGATTTGGGCAAGTAGTTTACTTTGAAATTAGTTACAGTCACATTCTACAGTTTCCTTCACTCTCGTTCACGGCAGGAATGAGGCCGGCGTTCCCGTCCTGTTTCTATGATCTTGGCTGGACAGGCTCAGGGACAGACAGGCAGGAACTGGCACTCACTGGGTCTGGATGCAGAGCTGGGTTTGCCACATAAATGCTTGAGCAAGACACTTACGCTGTGTGAGTTTCATGACCAGGTCTTGGAAGTGGGGTGTACTATACCTACTTAACTGGGTTGTTGTAAAGACATAGTAGAACGATGCACGCCCAGGGGAGCTGGCACTTGCGGAAGAATCAATAAATGTTGGCCGTTACTACGGCAGCGACGCTGCAACCGCTATCTTCCCCAGGAGACCAGTGAGGCAAAGAGCAATTGTACATAACTCGTCCCAAGTCACATAATTACATCTGAAGACAAATCCCCTATCTCTTCCTTTCTGTCTCAGATGTGTGGGGTAAGGAAACGTTTTTAAAAAGTGGGGAATTGCTCTGGCTGGGTGGCTCAGTTGGTTGGAGGGTCATCCAATACACCAAAAGGTTGTGGGTTCGATTCCTGGTCAGGGCACATAGCTAGGTTGCTGGTTCGATCCCCAGTTGGGCGTGCATGGGAGGCAACCGATGTCTTTCCCCCTCTCCCTGCCCCTTCTCCCTTCCTCTCTTTCTAAAATCAATGAAAACATCTTTTCTGGTGAGGATTAAAAAAAAAAAGTGGTGAGTTGCCTTTTTCATTTACTAGTGTTATAGAAAGGGGATCTTTTCAGAATGTTGTTTTTCAAAAAATGTATGATTTTGTTTTCTTCTAGGACCTGGAGTTCCATGGAGTGATGAGGTTTTATTTTCAAGATAAAGCGGCTGGGAACTTTGCAACAAAATGTATCCGGGTCTCGAGCACGGCCACCACGCAGGATGTCATCGAGACGCTGGCCGAGAAGTTCCGGCCGGACATGCGCATGCTGTCCTCTCCCAAGTACTCGCTCTACGAAGTGCACGTCAGCGGAGGTCAGTGTCCCCTCTCCTGCCAGGCATGCCCCCTCCCCGCCTCCCCAGGTCCTCTGGCTTCCTCCCGAGAGCCAGGGAGCAGTGGGCGGCGGGCGGCAGAGCTTCTGTATGTCGGGGAAAGGTCTGTGCATCCCCAGCACATGTTTGTTGGAAGTTGGATGAATGTAGTTTTACACGTGCTTGTTGCTCTGAAGATAAGTAGCGTGGCGTTTCCTGAGTAACTCACCCACACACAGATCCGGGGCACAGACAGTGATGATGGCGTGCTCCTTGCTTTTGGAGAAATAGTTGGTGTCACTCGTGTGTGTGGAATGGAACAGCACAGTGGACAATGACCCAGTTGTGTGTGAGATGGGTCGCCAGCCTTCCCGTAGGTTGTGATGTGGACAGCACGTTTCCATCGCTGTGTGGGGAACTCGGGGCGTCTGAGGAAGCTCTAGTAATTTCTCCTTGTTTTAATGTTTGAAATATCTGGAAATATTCCATATATCTATGTCAAGTAACAGTTTAAATTGGACTGGTTAGAAATGTAGGAATTTACAAATTTGAATGTTTAAGAAATGTCCAGTCATCTGCAAAAAATGTAATAATGCAGCAAATAAAGGATTGCATATAACACAAACCTAATTTGAATACTTGTTAAGTTCTATCCACAAATCCTTTTTAATTTTTTGTTTGTTTTTACTTTAAAAAATACAGCTTTCTTTATAAATTGGAAATTGGGCAAAATTTTTTGTAACGTGTGGAATTCAAGTATGGCCAAACATCCCCCCCCTCCCCCCAGTGGTATGTAATGTAGGCCATTGTTGTTTATTACTTTTTTAAAAAAATATATTTTTATTGATGTCAGAGAGGAAGGGAGAGGGAGAGAGAATCATTGATCGGCTGCCTCTTGCACACCCCACGTTGGGGATGGAGCCCGCAACCCCGGCCTGTGCCCTGACAAAAGCGAACCCTGACCTCCTGGTTCATAGGTCAGCGCTCACTGAGCTGCACCAGCCGGCTGTTTATTACTTCCTTAAGGTTACAGGGTCTCACCTGCACAAGCAGTCCTGGCCCGGAGTGACGCAGGACAGCCGCGTGGCTGGCTGTCC